ATTTAGGAATTCTTTCTTCCTTAAACATTCGCTAGAAATCATAGGTAATATTATTTTGTCCTACAGTTCTTTTGATGTGGGGAGCCTTTAAAGTAGAAATTCAATTTTTCTTAGATATTGAACTATTCAGGATTTTTATTTTTATGTCAGTTTTGATGTTGTATACTTTAAGAGACTTGATAAAATGTCTAAAGTTTCAAAGTTCTTAAGATGGTTATATCTTTTTAATATCTCTAGTATTTAGACTACTTTCTCACTTTCACTCTTATATTGGATATTTGTGTCTTCTTTTCTCTTTCTTGATTTGTCTTAGGAAGGGTATATACATTTTATTAGTCTTTACAAAGGGCTGCTAGTTCTGTTGATTTTTTAATGTTGTTCTAATTCTTAATTATTTTATTACCTTCTGGTTTTATACTTTTTATTTCCATTACTTCATTTTTCTAATTGCTGATAAGTTAGAAGAATTTCATGTTTAATTTGTAGTTTTTTCTTGGGATGGATGAATAATACATTAACATTTCAGAAATTTTTTCTTTCTTACCACGTGGATTTACAGCCAGACATCTCTTTATATGCTGGTGTAGCAGAATCCAACAAATTTTAGTGTTTAGTTATTATTTTGTTTCAGTAAAATAAAATTTTAAATTTCCATTACAGTTTTATCTTCAACAAGAGATATTTGACAATTTGTTGTACAGTTGCCAGATAAATGGGATTTTTTCTATCCAATCAGAGAAAACATGCTGTGAGATTTCAATCTTTTGCAATTTATTGAGACTGTTTTTGTGGCCCAGCATAAAGTCAATTTAAAAAATTGTTCCATATATCTTTTAAAAATTACTCTGTGAGTGCTAGCACAGTGCTTTATATGTGTCTATTAGGTCAAGTGTGCTCATTTCATTGTTTTAACTTTCATAATCAGTTTGCAGTTTCATATGATTTATCTATCAGTTACTGAGAATAGTGAATTAAAATATTGCATTATAGATTTTTCTATTTCTCATTTTAGTTATGTTTTTCTGATGATTTCAACATTAATCATTATCAAATTGCCCCTTTTATCTGGCTGTTCCTTTGTATTACTGTCTACTTTGTTTGATATCAGTATAGACAGACCAGTTTTCTTTCTACTTGTATTTGTATTATATCTATATCTATATATTATTATCTGCATCTCTACATTCAAATCTATCTAAATATATGGTCTTCCACCCTTTAACTTTAAAATTTTATAGCCTTATATTTTAATATATTTTTTCTAAGCATTATAAAGTCTTTGTGTTTTATTCATCTCTATTTTTTAAGAGATTATGTGTGAAATATCCCTGACAGTTTCCGAGCACATATTAAATGCTTAATAAATAAAAGTTATAATAGCATATTCAATATTAAGATATTGGAATTTGTAAAATTACTTTGTAAATGTACTATCTAATGTTATATAAATGTACAATTGTTTTTTAACTAAGAAACTACTAACACAAACAACCCTTTTCAAAAGTTTAACTTTCAAAGAAAATTTCCTTGCTCTATACTTTCAAAGCAATTCAGCAATACTTAAAAAATTTAAAATTATCTCTACTATGGACAGCAGGAAGTGATGATTTGATTAATATGCATTAATAGATTTTCAAATCTAATAATTGGGAAAAAATACTATATGGTTTTGTTTACTATCATACCGTCAAAAAAATTAGAAACTCTGTACAGAGTTGTCATCTTTAATGCCATATAAATGTAGAAAAAAATCCATCTTTGATCTTTTGAAAATATTTAGGATATGATAAAAGTAAGAATTAAGCTCCCGTATCCTTGCTATTCGAATTCTACATTTCTTCAAAGATTAGTCAATCATTTTTATTGAGGCTGAAATTACTTTATTTAATCATTTTCTAAAGGATAATAATTGAAAATTACAAGTATTTGAAAAAGAAACAAACAGGACAACACAGATTGTCACACAACTGAGCATATATGGTAATATTACCTATTAATGTGGTGTTTTCCACATTTACACAAAACTCAGATTCTATTGTAAATTTTTTAAGTTAATGTTTTTCATGCAACGAGCACAAAGTTTATTTTATGTATCTGATTTAGTATTTGATAAATACTACACAGTTATCAGGTGCCTTGGTGCTTACTACTGAGAGGCTGGTTTAACCTCAACTTTACAGTATAATTATCTACATATTTTAAATTCCATTTTTATTTTTGACCTATGTAAATTAAGCATGTCTACATTCATTGTAAGCTTCTAAGCTAGATACTTCTTGAATTACAGAATTATGATACTGTTAGAAATATATGGAGATGTTTATAAAGAAGAAATCATTTCCAGAATGAGTTATTTTATGAATAATAAGTCATAGGAACAGAAAGAATGAATCTATGTCTAAGTAAGTGGCAGAAAATGGATTACAGTGTCAATGATTGGGGAAGGGTTTTATCATTTATCCAGTCTAACTTTTCGTTTTAAGAAATAAAAATAGACACTAAGTAAACATAAATAATTTTCAAAGGTCACCCACCTAGTAAGTGGCATGAATAACAATTTGAATAATTAGTGTAATCACATTAAATAAAATACAGTATGATGGCACAGAAATAGAAAACCTTATTTTAAAAATGTCTTACTCAAAATTAATAAAAAATAAAATGTAAATATATGGAGACAAAAAGATGTACAAAATAATATTAAGAAGCAATGTTTATTGGTCTTATTCGTTCAAGACAAGGTGAAAAGATTGAAATAAATTTGTAAACTGTAGTTCTATAGGAGCTACTATCTATGGTAAATATGAAAATAATTCAAGAAAATATAATATAAAATTCTGCCTTGGATACAAAAACACATATTGCATGGTTTTTGTGTTAAAAAATATGATACGAGAAACTGGAATGAATCCAGCAAGAAAAAAAGTGAGTCATTTAGGAAAAAAAATGATGAAGTCATTGGGATGATAAGACAGTAAGTTGGTATATACAATTTCAATACAAAATAGACATTGTATCAATGAATTTAAAATGATAAAAATAATAGTATTTTGGATTTATATACTTTCTCAGAAACCCAAGGTGATGTTTAAAACATAATTTTCTTCCCAGAAGACATCCTTCAGAGGCCAAGATCCAACATGACAGTTTTATAAATAAAGCTTTTCTTAAAAAAGTTACGTTGTTTCCCTATGTGAGAAAAACAGAACACAATTAACAAAATTCTTTACATTTCCTCATTGAGTAGAAACATTTCTACATGACCTGATTTACTGACTTTAATAATTTATAAATTTCCTAGTTTGTATTAAATTATTGCACCTGTCTACTGTTATTTTATGTATTTTTACAGTAGTAGAGGTACAATGAACTTAGTATAACAGAAAATTTGTTTCAAATTATTGTATCTCCCTATTGCTAAAAGTGAAATTATATGCTCATAGGCAAATGATTCAATGGAAATAAGCCGCAATTGTGTCATTTTATGTTAAATACTTTATAGAAAATTTTCTGTGTCAGTTATTTTTGGCATATTGATAAAATTCTCATGCATGTATCTCATTACTCATTAGCATATTTATTTTTTAAATATGATAGAATAATATAAACAACATACTGATAACATTTGAAATATGCTTATACTAAACTGAACAAAACATTCAAAATTGGTGCCAATAATTTCCTTGGGATGGATTATAATTTTTATATTTTCTCTATTTTCTTGAATTTTCAATCTTTCTGGAGATACACTGCTTTAAAAAGATAGAAAATTGAGGGGTTTTTGGTTAAGAATTGCCCAATAACTCACTATAATTATATCTTTGTAGAGTACTTAAAAATTCAAAGCATTTTCATGTATATAGTCACATTTTATCAGGGTCTACATTTGGCTACTGTTCAACAGCACTATCATATCTGTTGTTATCTGGTTGGTGCCAGTTCTGATCACCAGTGTTCTGTTCTGGTTCTTAACGTTCTTAAAAACACCACTGTGATTCACACACAGTAAATAGAGGCAATGTTTTCCTTTAGTCTTTTCTTCTCAACTATATAATTTTTTAAAACATAAAGCACTGTCTAAACTATAAGGGCAATTTTAATAAATGTGAGTTAACGCAAAACATTACACAAATATAATAGTATTTTCTTTTCTAGTTACGCCATAATAGATTATTGATTAACCTATTTTGATATGTATTTATGTGCCAATTGCAAAATGTGCATATAGATTTACAACTTACATTGAGCTGTCTATAAGTTAATTGGTAACACATCATTCATAAGATTACAAAATGTGAATAGTTATTGCTATTTTTCATTGATTGACAGCTGTCAGGCAAAAAAAAGTAAACTAATATAATAATTGAATTTTTGATAGACCTGTTATTAAAATCTTAATTAGCTGGTGAGAGAAAGACAGATGGAGTCTGGAGACTGTAAGAAGTGAGGGACAAGATGTTATAATGTGATTAAGAAGAGGTAATCGAGGCAAAATTATCCTAATACTGAAAGGGAATGATTTAGTAAACTGAGGGAGAAATTTTACCAAGATGTTAGAAAGGCTCAATGTTCAGCATTGGTGGAGCTTCCATTATGGTCTTATAAGGAGGTAAAATAAAATAGAACCGAATTTCACTATAATTAACTGTGTCAAAATCTCTCTGGCCTAGGTGTTGAGAAAAAAAAAATTTTAAAGAATGTTGAATTTTACAAAAATATTTATCCAACAAATTAAAACCACAGCATTGTGATCTTGTGATTAAACTAATTGAAAATAGATATGTATCTTAGAACATAGGAAGAAGTAGTAGCAGTAAAAGAAGAAACCGGATGGCATGCATTTCAAGCAAAAACTTTTTTAAAAGAAAGAACAAAAAGGCTGAAATACATTAATTTTTTGTTGGATGCAAGAGGTGGGCTGATTTCACATAATTTCCCTTTGCATTTGCAGATTTGAAAATATGAAAAGTCTTTAAAATAACTGCCATGTATTCTTCTGTGAAAAACTACATTTTTTTGGAGTGAGAATATGGAGTACTACTGGAAGTAAGGTAAGAATAAAGAGATTCTTAAAAATAGATTATGTGATCCATAAATATCATACAAGAGATTAAAAGGGGGCAAATAACAGAGTTCTGAGGAAAAATAAGAATGAACCGTAATAAATCCAGGATGGCACTATGAAGGAATGAAGTAGGGATGAGTATGAAAGAAGATAGAAAACATGACAAAATATTATGCGGGTGAAGTTAGGATAATGTGCTAAATTGACTGAAATAATTGCCTCTAACATTTAATGACATCTCACATTGCAGTTACTGAATCAGGTAGAAAAATCAGTTCCTGGTGGTAGAAAAGACAGTATCTATTACATTGCAAAATGCCCCTGAAGAAAGCGAATGCATAATAAAATCTTCATTAGATTTATTTCTGGGACAAAAAGTATCTCTCTGCATATAAATGCTATATCTCTTTTTTCATCAATGAAAACTGTTTTGAACAAGAATATTTTCACTTTCAACTTAGTTCGCAGGAAATATAATGTTAAAATATACATCCATTTGTAAAAGAACTCTAGCTCAGATTCTTAGAAATGCTGCTTATAAGACTTTCCAAGTATATATTTATTTCCTTATACTTTATTTTATGTGGCATAAAATTTATCTTTAGATACAGAATATAGCTTTAATGAATAGCTTTCCAACAAGCCATTCCATAGTTTACATTTCTATGTATTCTCAACTGCTTCTACAATATGTACGTATGTTAAAAGCCAATGCATTTTACGTCCATGGCCTCCATCGTACAGATTTTGCAATTTCTTCCTGTTCTGTGAAATTAAATGTGTATGTTTCCTATTTGCCAACAGTCGTTGTCTGCCTATTGATCATGAGGACAGCTCAGGCAGCAGCAGGGCAGATGGAATAGAATTCAGGTTTGGCAAAGATGTGAGCAGAGGGCAGAGTTGCACAGGCACTCCTGAGATTTGTTTGTTTGCTTTTCTTAAACCTCCAAGAAATGGAGAGACCTCAGATAGGGAATCAAGAAATGAATTCAGCAGATGGGACAGGGGAAATCTGTTTGGTCTGCCAAGTTTAACAGTACAGCTTTCTGATTCATGGTTATATATAAATAACTTACAAGAAAGGTAAGGCTGCACTAAACGTCTTCAACTCACTAAGATGTAGAAACAGTACTGTCAACCTCAACTACATTCTAGCTTTAATAACCTGCTCTGATGCTCTCATTTGAATTTAAATGAAGAAACTACTGATGAAAAAATATCATTAAGAAAGCTATTCAGGACTTAACCATATCAGTAATTCTAGAGAAATACTACTTACTATAAAAAGAAAGCTGAAAGTATTAGAATTTTCTGACATCGCTCCATCATACACCATGTCTTTCAAACATCCTTTATACTACAGATAACATGTGAATATAGAATACTCCAACAGCACCTATCTTAGGCAAAAATCTGGATAATTGTTAAATATGTTGACATTTCCATAGAGAATATCACACTTAAGGAGATATTGAAACAAGTAAAAAGAATAAATCAAAGACAATTCCACAAATTAATTGTGACAGTGTTTTGTTCAATGTATCCTGTGTACTTTCAACAAATGCTATGCAGTTTCTACACATATTTGACATATTTTTCATGTCCTTGCTATTGCTTCAATATATGTAATTTTCTAATATGAAAATTAGAAAATTAGACAAAAGTTGTTTATATGGAAATCCTTTATAGTTTCCATTGACATCTATGAAGAAATCATTCTGTAACCAGACCTACATTTTTCTCTACAAATTTCTTATCAACTTTTCCAACGGTGAGTATAAAGAAAAATCTTATATTGGATATGAAAATGCATCTGTGTTTGTATTTAAATATTTTTGCATTTTCTCTGTCAGAGGTCAAAAACAGACATGTGCATACACACACACACACATACCCCTCTTAGAAGGAAAATACATAATTTGTAGTTTTATATTTCATCTTAAAGAGGATAAAACTGTAGCTTTGGCTTCTAATAAATATTTAACTTACTTTTTTATTTGTATAGGTACTGTAAGTTGTGGTATATAGAAGTGCACACTGTTCCAACACATAAAGTACATTTATGTCATTTAAAAACTTTGTGGAACTTTATAAAGGTATTGCATCCATGAATAAAGAGAAGTTTATATTCTCTTTGTGCAAAGCAAAATCTGATACCTCCTTATCTTTGGCTTTTAAAAAAGTGTTCTTTAACCTACAATTTGAAAAGAGATATCTTACTTGTTTCTTCAATGTTCAATGTAATCTTCACAAAATACTTTCATAAATGTTTGCACAAATCAAGTAGTATACATTTTCCAATTTGTTTTAAGAGGAACTTTAAGAATGACTATTCAATGCTTAATTAGCATGTTGTTAAAAAAATAATAAATGGAACAATATTGTTTTATTGAAACAGACTCTTGAATTAGGAGATCTTTGCAGCGTTTGGCAGAATGTAAAGAGGACAAGTAGATTTCAGGAGAAGAAAACTGATATTTATTTAACATGAATATGAAAACAGTCCATAAAAAATACATTGCTGGCTGGGCACCGTGGTTTACGCCTGTAATCCCAACATTTTGGGAGGCTGAGGTGGGGGGATCATGAAGTCAGGAGTTCAAGACTAGCTTGACCAACATGGTGAAACCCCATCTCTACTAAAAATACAAAAAGTAGATGGTCATGATGGTGCCCGCCTGTAATCTCAGCTACTTAGGAGACTGCGGCAGGAGAATTGCTTGAACCGGGAGGCGAAGGTTGCAGTGAGCCAAGATTGTGTTACAAAGCTTAGGTAACACAGAGAGACTATATCTAAAAAAAAAAAAAAAAAAAAAAAATTGTTCTTTTTAGTATTTATATCATTTCAGAATAACTGTTTGTTTTTGTTGTTGTTGTTGTTGTTGTTTGAGACGGAGTCTGGCTCTGCCGCCCAGGCTGGAGTGCAGTGGCCGGATCTCAGCTCACTGTGAGCTCCGCCTCCCGGGTTTACGCCATTCTCCTGCCTCAGCCTCCCGAGTAGCTGGGATTACAGGCGCCCACCACCTCTCCCGGCTAGTTTTCTGTATTTTTTTAGTAGAGACGGGGTTTCACCGTGTTAGCCAGGATGGTCTCGATCTCCTGACCTCGTGATCCGCCCGTCTCGGCCTCCCAAAGTGCTGGGATTACAGGCTTGAGCCACCACGCCCGGCCCCACAATAATTCTTAAAGAAGAACTTTTCCCTCCAGCAAAAATCTTTGTCATTAACAGGTTTGGCTAGATGGAACTACCATTAAAAATGAAAATATTGTTCTTATAGATTGTGACAACACATTTAATATAACATATATAATATTTAAAATACATTATGTATGTGTGTTTTATACAATATCTCTATATATAATCTCTCACCTACACATACACATACACACGTTTGCACACACATACACACATATATGAAGATACAGAATTTCATTGTTGCAAAAGCAATCAGTAATGGTTGATCTTATTTGAACCTGTGTCTTTTTAAATCAAATTTGTCTGATGAGGCTAAATCTGCTATGATTCACCTAATTTTTAAAGAAAGAGTATGGTATTTTTTAAACTTTGAAGAGTATCTCTCATTAAACTACCAAAAATTATCTTTTAATTATCATTGGTGTAGCCTTTAAGTTGCAAGTACCTGAAAAAAAAATGTACTCACTACAGGAATTGAAAAAAAAAATACATTATGAATAATTTTCATATTGGAGCTTTCTGTTTGGAAGTTAATATACATAAACAATTAATATAAATTAAAAATTATTTTACTGAATTTATGTTCACTGAAATTTGATCACATTTAAGAATCGCTTTGGCATAAAGATATTTCTGAATTAAAATGACCTATGAGTTTAATTAATAGTCAGCAGGTCTCTATTTGCTTTAAATGTTTTCTTTTTCATATGAATAAGCATCAGCCTTGTAGATTTTGATATTAGAAGACCAAAAACAAGGATCAAGCTTCTTGATGCAAATCCATTTTCACATGACACCCCATGCCACCCTCACCCTGACCTTTATCTGTGCTTCTAAAGAGTTTTCATGTTGTTTTAGTTAATGTGGTAATATGTGATCTTCCACAAAATTTGTTTAGACAATCATGTTGTGCTAACAACTTATAATCATAAGTTAGGTCATAGGCTAGTTTTCATCTTTTGGTTGCTAGTAACAACAAATTGGCTTACATAAAAAAGAAAATTCATTCGTTCATAAAATCGCCTTTAATTGATGACATTGTCATAGTCCCAGATTCTGTGCAACTTTTTGATCTGTCATCAACACTGTGAACTTCCTAGTGAGACTGGCCAATCTCAAAACATTTAGTTTAATACTGGAGTGAAGATTGGAATTTCTAACTTATATAAATGTACTTTTTAAATAATTAAACTGAATTTAGAGGAAATTGAGAAAGCATTTACAGTTCTTGAGACATTATACTGTTTTTCAATCTACTAAGGGCCTCCCCTTTTATCTCCTTTCTAGATCAAAGTTTGCTCATCTCTGCCCTGTTCTGATGTTTTGTAGACTGACCTCTATGGATATTGAAGCTCAGGTGAAAGGAGGATTGAGTTCCCTATTCTCTGTGTAAGTGAACCATTGTGGTTCTGCCTGTGGCAGCTTTTTACATTTGCATCACCTGTCCAGCAGCTCTCCTTCCTCTCTTCCAAGCTGTCATAACACAGCCCCACAATTTATTTCTTCAGGAGTAGAAGTGAAAATGGGTACTAAAAGTTAATCACTGTGTCCTTCACCACCTATAGCTGGTTGTCTTACATTTGCTCACAACTCTCTTCACTGATACTTTATTAAATTATAAAACATTAAACCCTTTATAAATTTGCTATCTATTAAGAGCCAGAATCTTGTTGTTCCAATAATTGATATCAAGAGTGACCTAGGGAACAGATCTTCAAAGTAGGATTCTAGGTATAGATTACTCAAATATTTAATAAATATCTGTATACCTTTCTGTTCTGAGGGAAACACACTACTGGTAACTAATGGCATGTAGTGATATAATCTACTAAAATTAGCAACTGCAGTGGAATGGGATGCAGTGTCAGAGGAGCACTAACTTTCAGGAGTTCAAGTGACTAGAGCAGTTGTTGACACATAGGAATGTTGGATAGGTAGCACTAGTATTTGCAAATGGCTCCACTGTATCCTAACCATACCCTGGAAAAGGCTTAGGTGTGTATTCCCTTTACTATGGCATTTATCATACCGTGTTGAGTAAAAGGAACATTGTTATACATTAAAAGTAGAGGAATGTCTTGTGTTAGTAGAAATAAATGTCAGAAATGCTGCTGTGGCTTTAGATTTCTTGAATTCAATAAGTGTAGTGAAAATCTGGAAGATAAGATTGGGCCATATAACCATATATAAGAATGTAAGAAAATGTTCCAATAATCATCAGGGAGAGAGACAGAAACAATAATTCCAGAGTTTTAACCCTCTGTATTCTGTGTTGATGGCTAATTGATGATAAGTTTCCTATGAATTAATTAGATCAGCAGTCTATTAAAGTGATGTTTGGTTTTGTGGAGAGATATATAGGTATATGTATATATATATGTGTGTGTATATATATGTGTGTGTGTATATATATGTGTGTATATATATATATAAAACATATTTGAAGTTCTGGGATACACATGCAGAATGTACGGGTTTGTTACATAGGTATACACGTGCAATGGTGGTTTGCTGCACTCATAAACCCTTCATCTACATTAAGTATTTCTCCTAATGCTATCCCTCCCTTAGCCCCCCAACACCCCTAATAGGCCCTGGTGTGTGATGTTTTCTTCCCTGTGTCCATGTGTTCTCATTGTTCAACTTCTACTTATAGGTGAGAATATGTGGTGTTTGGTTTTCTGTTCCTGTGTTCATTTGCTGAGAATTATGGTTTCCGGCTTCACCCATGTCCCTGCAAAGGACATGAACTCATGCTTTTTCATGACTTCATAGTATTCCATTATGTATATGTGCCACGTTTTCTTTATCCGGTCTATCATTGATGGGCACTTGGGTTGGTTCCAAGTCTCTGCTATTGTGAATAGTGCTGCAATAAACATATGTGTTCATGTGTCTTTATAGTAGAATTAATTATAACCCTTTGAGTATATACCTAGTAATGGGGTTGCTGGGTCAAATGTTATTTCTGGTCCTAGATCCTTGAGCAATTGCCACAGTGTCTTCCACAATGGTTGAACTAATTTACACTCCCACCAATAAGGTAAAAGGGTTCCTATTTCTCCACATCCTCTCCAGCATCTGTTGTTTCCTGACTTTTAAATGATCGCCATTCTAACTAGTGTGAGATGGTATCTTACTGTGGTTTTGATTTGTATTTCTCTAATAGCCAGTGATGATAAGCTTTTTTTCACGTTTGTTGGACTCATAAAAGCCTTCTTTTGAGACATGTCTGTTCATATCCTTCTCCTACTTTTTGATGGAATTGTTTGTTTTTTTCTTGTAAATTTGTTTAAGTTCTTTGTAGATTCTGGATGTTAGCCCTTCGTCAGATGGCTAGACTGCAAAAATTTTCTCCAATATTGTAAGTTGCCTGTTTACTCTGATGATAGTTTATTTTGCTGTGCAGAAGTTCTTTAGTTTAATTAGGTCTCTTTTGTCTATTTTGGCTTTGGTTGCCATTGCTTTTGTTGTGTTAGTCATAAAGTCTTTGCCCATGCCTCTGTCCTGAATGATATTGCCTAAGTTTTCTTCTAGGGTTTTATTTTTTATTTTTTTTATCTTATGTTTAAGTCGTTAATCCATCTTGAGTTATTTTTTATAAAGTGTAAGGAAGAGATTCAGTTTCAATTTTCTGCATATGGTTAGCCCATTTCCCCAACACTACTTATTAAATAGGGAATCCTTTCCCCATTGCTTATTTTTGTCAGTTTGTCAAAGATCAGATGGTTGTATATATGTGGTGTTATTTCTGAGGCCTCTGTTCTGTTCCATTGGTCTATATATCTATTTTGGTACCAGTACCATGCTGCTTTGGTTACTGCAGCTTTATAGTATAGTTTGAAGTCAGGTAGTGTGATGTCTCCAGCTTTGTTCTTTTGGCTTAGGATTGTCTTGGCTATATGGGCTGTTTTTGATTCCATATGAAATTTAAAGTAGTTTTTCTATTTCTGTGAAGAAAGTCAATGGTACCTTGATGGGAATAGCATTGAATCTATAAATTTCTTTATACCGTAATGCCATTTTCACAATATTGATTCTTCCTATCCATGAGCATGGAATGTTCTTCCATTTGTTTGTGTCCTCTCTTATTTCATTGAGCAGTGGTTTGTATTTCTCCTTGAAGAGGTCCTTCACATCCCTTGTAAGTTGTGTTCCTAGGCATTTTATTCTCTTTGTAGCAATTGTGAATGGGAGTTCACTCATGATTTGGCTCTCTGTTTGTCTGTTATTAGTGTATAAGAATGCTTGTGATTTTTGCACATTAATCTGGTATCCTGAGACTTTTCTGAAGTTGCTTATCAGCTTAAGGAGATTTGGGGCTGAGACTATAGGGTTTTCTAAATATACAATCATGTCATCTGCAAACAGAGACAATTTGATTTCCTCTCTTCCTATTTGAATACCCTTTATTTCTTTCTCTTGCCTGGCTGCCCTATCCAGAAGATTCTAATACTATGTTGAATGGAGTGGTGAGAGAGGGTATCCTTGTCTTGTGCCAGTTTTCAAAGGGAATGATTTGAGTTTTTGCCCATTCAGTATGATATTGGCTGTGGGTTTGTCATAAATAGCTGTTATTATTTTGGGAAACGTTTCATCAATACCTAGTTTATTGAGAATTTTTAACACGAAGAAGTGTTGAATTTTATCTAAGTCCTTTTCTGCATCTATTGAGATAACCGTGTGGTTTTTGTGATTGATTCTCTTTATGTGATGGATTACATTTATTGATTTGTGTATGTTGAACCAGTCTTGTATCCCAGGGATGAAGCTGACTTGATCGTGGTGGATAAGCTTTTTGATGTGCTGCTGGATTCGGTTTGCCAGTATTTTATTCAGGATTTTCACATTGATGCTTATCAGGGATATTGGCCTGAAATTTTCTTTTTCTGTTGTTTTTCTGCCTGGTTTTGGTATCAGGATGATGCTGGCCTCATAAAATGAGTTAGGGAGCAGTCTCTATTTTTCTATTGTTTGGAATCGTTTCAGAAGGAATGGTACCAGTTCCTCTTTGTACTTCTGGTGGAATTCGGTTGTGAATCCGCCTGTTCCTGGGCTTTTTTTGGTTGATAGGCTATTAATTACTGCCTCAATTTCAGAACTTGTAATTGTTTTGTTGAGGGATTTGACTTTTTCCTGATTTAGTCTTGGGAAGGTGTATGTGTCCAGGAATTTATACATTTCTTCTAGATTTCTAGTTTATTTGTATAGAGGTGTTTATAGTGTCCTCTGATGATACTTTGTATTTCTGACAACATAATTGAAAGTAAAACACACCTCACCAAATGCAAAAGAACAGAACTCATAAGAAACAGTCTTTGAGACCACAGTGCAATCAAATTAGAACTCAAGATTAAGATACTCAAAACTGTACAACTACATGGAAACTGAACAACCTACTCCTGAATGACTACTGGGTAGATAACAAAATTAAGGCAGAAATAAATAAATTATTTGAAACTGATGAGAACAAAGACACAATGTACCAGAATCTCTGTGACACACACAGCTAAAGCAGTGTTTAGAGGGAAATAGATAGCACTAAAGGCCCACAGGAGAAAGAAGGGAAGATCTAAAATTGACACTCTAATATTGCAATTAAAATAACTAGAGAAGAGCAAACAAATTCAAAAGCTAGCAGACGACGAGAAATAACTAAAACTAGAGCAGAATTGAAGGAAATAGAGACACAAAAACTCTTCCAAAAAAATCAGTGAATCCAGGAGCTGTTTTTTTAAAAAAAGATTAACAAAATAGATAGACCACTAGCCAGACTATAAAGAAGAAAATACAGAATGGCAATTATTAAAAAGTCAAGAAACAACAAAAGCTGGTGAAGCTATGGAGAAATAGGAACACTTTTACACTGTTGGTGGGAATGTAAATTAGTTCAACCGTTGTGGAAGACAGTGTGACGATTCCTCAAAGATCTAGAACCAGAAATACCATTTGACCCAGCAACCTTATTATCAGGTATATACCCAAAGAAATATAAATTAATCTATTATAAAGATACCTGCACATGTGTGTTTATTGCAGCAATATTCACAATAGCAAAGACATAGGATCAACCCAAATGCCCATCAACGGTAAACTGAGTAAAGAAAATGTGGTACATATACACAATGGAATACTACACAGCCATAAAACAAAATGAGTTTATATCCTTTGCAGTGACATGGATGAAGCTGGAAACGATCATTCTCAGCAAATTAACACAGGGACAGAAAGCCAAACACCTCATGTTCTCACTAATAAGTCGGAGGTGAACAATGAGAGTACATGGACACAGAGAGGAGAACAACACACCCTGGGACTGTTGGACGGGCAGTGGGAGGGAGAGCATCAGGATAAATAGCTTAATGCATGCTGGGCTTAATACCTAGATG